ACACACACACACACACACACACACACACACACACACACACACACACATTTTTATTTGAAAGTCTTTAACCAAAATATATTTTGCTTGTGAGAGGACGTTTCTAGGAGGGTGTAATATGATTAAAATGTGACTTCTGGTTGTTTATTTTTCTGTTTAATGAACATGGTGGCCGTATTTCATTTAAATACTCAGAGAGTAACATAATTAGGGGTTAAAGTTATATTCAAACGATGTAGTTTTGTTGTAAACTTGAATTTGGACTAATGCCGAAATGATGAGCCCACTAACTAAAATGAATGAAGATTTTTATAAATCAGTTGTTTAAGTCATTCTCAAGCCAAAAAGAGAAATAGTGTGTCGTGTCAGCTTCTTAACATGGACTGGTGGTTAGCCCAGTGGTTCCCACAGTGGATGCTGGTGGGTGTCGTTTGGGAACTACTGTTCCCCATTTAAAGGTCTCACCCTGTGCTTTGAGAAATTGTGTTTATAATCTGTAATATGTTTTGAATTTATAGATTATTGGTAAAAGTAAAACAGATTAGTCAACAATGAAATGTTAATTACAGCCCTCTTTCGGACTTTCCAGCATATTTTGGCCTCTGACGCTGTTCATCTTTGAGACATTCGAGTTTAGAGCTGAAACAATTAGCTGACTGACAAAAATCAATCTGCAGCTTCTTTCATAATCCATTAAGTGTCAATCAAATATGGAAAAAAGAGGCTGATTCCAGCTTCTCAAACATGAGGATTTAAAGCTCGTCTTTGTCAAATATGATAGTAAGCTGAATATCTCTGGGTTTTCAACTGTTTTTCGGACCAAACGAGACATTTGAATATGCCTCCTCCTCGGGCTCTGGGAAATTATTGTAGTATTGAAGTATAATCTGACATTTTGTAGACTAAATAGTTGATTGAGAAAATAATCACAGATTAATCAATATTAAAAATAATCTTTAGTTGCAGCTCTATTTTGTTATTTGTGTTTCTATTGAAATCATTTGTATAAAGACCAGTAGAGAATGTCTCTCCATAATTTAATGAATTGATTAATCAAATTACAAGCGTGATGTAAACAAACAAGGCACAGTTGAAAAAAGTGCACAATTCCCAGAGTTAGTTGTCATCCACACCTACATCTCATCGCAACCATGGGGACAGCACACATACACGCGCGCACACACACACACACACACACACACACACACACACACACACACACACACACACACACACACGCGGAAACTGCAGGATATGGAGCTAATTCAAGGTGAAATGTGTTTATTCAAGTCGAGGTCATCACGTTTTTGTCTTTCAAGAAGCACAAAAGGCTACATTAATCAACAAACTAAATAGGAAATGTTGCATTGTGTGTAATGGAAAAGCATAATCTTTCATTATTTTGTTTCATGGCCAAACATGCACACAATCACACACCATTGTTTATCAGTTTCCATACCCTTCGTTTGCCCCGTTTGAAATTGAATGGTAAGCCGATGTTGGATTGGTTGGGGCCGAGTCCCGTTATGTTTCTTCTCCGATTCATCAGCCATCTTGTTGTTGTTGTAGTTTCTTCCTCAGTTTACCTGGAGGAGGGTAACTCTGAGCGTGTACACTTTGTCAGCTCTGCTTTGCTTCAAATTTTCACACATTAACACACTTCCTACACCTGGGAGTTGTGCGGTGACAGCTGGCTGCTGTTGGCTGCAGAGCGGTCAGATGACTCTCACAGTTGTTTCTTGAAGAGGGCAGCAAGTTCCTCGTTCACCTTCCCTGCCAGATTGTTACACACACTCGCACGTATATAACTTTTAACCAGTGAGCTTCTACCTATAAACCCGCTTCACTAACCTTCATGGACCCGTCGACGCCGGCTGGGGGACCTGCTATGCAGGGCCGCTGAATCAGACTCACTACACTGCAGCACCTCCAAATGCTAACCTTGGTTTCAACACTCAAGGAGCCCACAGTACTTTGTTCCAGCCACGGGGGGGGTTATAGATGAGCACAGTTCTGCATATG